TTCATATTTAAATCTCTGACCTATCTCTAATCTAATCATCTAATTTTTATATACAGTATAACATTAAAATGCAGCCACATTTTTTCCATATAAATAACAAGTTGCCCTAGTACATACAATTAGAGAACTGGTTCATCTCTTTACATTGATTTACAATATCTCTTTATTCTTGGTCTTTTGCTTTTTTATAATAATTTTTGGTTCAGAGGAATTTGATTGGAATTACAATGCATTTATTGACTATTTGAGAATAGTTGTTATCCTTATAAGTTGAGTTGTACTATTTATGAAAACTGCATATTGTTCTTTTTTTTTTAATAATTTTTGCTATAGGATGTATGTGCTTGCTGGAGACAGACAGATGGAGAGGAAGCAAGAAAGTCCCCCTCAAGGGAGATACCACAGTGCATCCCCTCTCCTCCATTCTCCCCTGAGGACCCTGGGCACATATGTCCATGTACCCAGCTGTGCTTCCCAAACCACTGAGTCAAGACTTGAACCACACAGTCAGCTATGTGTGATCCAGCTGCCTTAACTACCACGCCACTGGCTGGTCCCTGTTCCTTTTGTTTAGGTCTTCTCTTAAGCCTTTTAATACAGGTTTTCAGTTTGCAATTTCATTTTCTCTATAAAGTTCTTATATATCTTTTTAGATTTGTTTAGTTTTTGTTACTATTACAAACTGGCCCTTTCTTTTTTCTTTGTGTTTAGTTTAGACAGGATCCAGCAGAGCCTGGATCCACAGGCATGCCCCGACGTGCCTCTTTCCTATGGGTCTTGCTGTATTGCTCATGCTGGCCACGACCCTCCCACCTCAGCTACCCAACTTACTGGGACTGGGACGAAGGCCCACGTCACCATGCTGGATTTTTTTTACTTAAAATTGTAAATTGGTTTTGCTGGTATAGCAACTCTTTTTTTGAGTAAGAGCCTGGCATCTGCAGTATAACAACATATTGTGGCTAAAGAATATTGTGTGCATGACAGAGTGCTGATACCTGTTGAAATCTGTTCTGTGGCCTAGTACATAGCCAAAAGACTTCCTTATGTTCTTGAAAAGATTTTTACTTTAATTTTGTGCAGGATTTGTGTATATCTATTAGAGCAAGGCTGTAATTGATTGTTCCAATCATCTGTATCTTTATTAAATGTTTTGTTTTTGTTTTTGTTTTTGAGAGATTTTTGCTATAGGGCGCGTGCACTCGCCAGACAGACAGAGAGAGACATAGAGACAGAAAGCGAGAAATCACCCCCCAGGAGGGATGGCCACGCCACAATCCCGTCTCCTCCATTCTCCTCTCGGGATCTTGGGCATGCACGCACACGCGCCCGGCGTGAGTTTTAAGCCACCGGGTCCAGGACGCGAACCGCGGTCGACTACGTGGGAGTCCAGCGACATAGCCATTATGCCAACTGCTGGTTCCCACTAAATGGTTTTTTTTGTTAGTATGACTGAATATGTTAAATTATTCTGGTAATCTTTTGATCTTTTGTATTATTAATGTGGAGACTGAGTTTGGAATTACAATAGCTTTCTGTGACTTGTTCCCTTTTTATTTCTGTATAATTGCTTTTTTTATCCCTAATAGTGTTTTTGCTTTAAGTATGTATTTTTTTTCCCTGCTATTTATAGAGCTGTTGTCAGTTTTCTTTTGGTTATGGTATGCCTAGCGTAGCAGTTAGGGATGTATTCAGTTTCAAGTTAACAGAAACCTTAACTGTAGTTGTTTAAGTAGTTTAGTTGATTATTATTAAATAAAAAGAGCAGTGGGAACCAGCAGTTAGCGTAATGGCTATGTCGCTGGACTCCCACGTAGTCGACCGCGGTTCGAGTCCCGGACCTGGTGATTTAAACTCACGCTGGGCACATGTGCGTGCGTGCCCAAGATCCCGAGAGGAGAATGGAGGAGAAGGGATTGTGGCGTGACCATCCCCTCTGGGGAGTGATTTCTCGCTTTCTGTCTCTATGTCTCTGTCTGTCTGGCAAGCGTACGTGCCCTATAGCGAAAACCTCCCAAAAAAATAAGTAAATAAATAACAAGAGCAGTGATAAATGTGAATGTATCTGCTCAGGAACCCAGATGCTTTATGTATTTCCATTTACCATTCAGAGTGTGCCATCTTTCACCCTTATGCTTGTTTTCTCTCTACAAGGCTTCGCAGAGGGGCAGGAGAGGATAATGAGAACAACCTTTATTATTGGAATTGCATGGTACAATATTCTGTGGTTTTTTGAAAGAGTATTTATTTTATTATTACTATTATTTATTATTATTATTATTTGCTATAGAGAACATGCACTCACCAGAAAGAGAGAGAGAGGTAAAGTGAGAAAGTAAGCCACCAGGTTCAGGATTCAAACTGCAGTTGGCCATGTGCGAGTCCAGCACCTTAACCACCATGCCACCTGCTGGCCACCCCTATTTTTTCTTAAGACTTATTTAATTTTTGGCTGGTAGGTGGCATGGTGGTTAAAGGTGCCGGATTCCCACATGGCTAACCACAGTTCCAGCCCCGGACCTGGTGGCTTGCTTTCTCTCGTTCCCTTTCTCTCTCTCTTTCTCTCTCTCTCTCTAACTGTCTCTGGTCAAATTTTTAAAAAATAACAACAAATGGAATTAAATAATAATTATGGAATTATATATGATATTCAAAATATATTATAAACTACAATTATAAATATATTATTTATTCAAGTGAAATTAAAATAATTATTTAAAATTAAATAATTCTTTTTTAAGAATTATTTATCATTATTATAATTTTTTTAATTTGCTACAGGGCACGTGTGCTCACCAGAGAGACAGAGAGAGGAAGGAAGGGAAAGAATTATGGAATTATATATGATATTCAAAATATATTATAAACTACAATTATAAATATATTATTTATTCAAGTGAAATTAAAATAATTATTTAAAATTAAATAATTCTTTTTTAAGAATTATTTATCATTATTATAATTTTTTTAATTTGCTACAGGGCACGTGTGCTCACCAGAGAGACAGAGAGAGGAAGGAAGGGAAAGTGAGAAAAAGGCTGCCAAGTCTGGGACTCAAACCAAAATCAGCCATGTGGGAGTCCAGTGCCTCAACCCCCATGCCACCTGCTGGCTTCCACATGTTATGTTTTAGAATCTATAGACTCTATGTCTCATAATTGTAAATGGTCTGTTATTAACACACATTTTATGAAAATTCTTTAATTATAAGGTGAAATCTTCTATTATGGGGCCAGCAGGTGGCATAGTGGTTAAAGGTACTGGACTCCCACATAGCCAACTGCAGTTCAAGTCCTGGACCTGGTGACTTGCTTTTTCACTTTTCCTCTCCCTCTTTCTCTGTTCGAACTGGAAAATAATAATAAAGTTAAATAAAAATAATTTTCTTTAAAAAAAAAAAAGATGGAATCTTCTCTTTCTAGAATGAGTAAATGTGACAGTTGCACTTACCAAATGAAACCACCGGGAAGAAAATACTACACAGGCCTGCTTTTAGAGCTATAAAATAATTAAATGCTCCACTCTCAGTAGACCAAATATCATTAATTTCCTGGCAAATCATAATATAGTACGTTTCCAAGCATTGATTCAAAGTAAAAATACAGTAAGGTTTTATTTAAGCAAGTTGAATTTTTGTATTTAGGTGTACTTTGTATTTATGTTCTCTCAAAGAGAGCATTTTCTAGTTTTTCAGAAGACTGATTACATTTCAGCATTTTCCATGAAACCTAACATCACTTTGGATCTTTTGCTGGGACATTGGCCCAGGCTATCAGATAGCCGTTCTTAGCTAGAAAATGTGACCTCAAATTCTCCCTTCCCCTTTCTCCATTCTCTGAAACTTCCAGTACATCTGATTTTACCTCTCATCTTGCCCCGTGGACCATTAATATGTTTTTGCAACCATCAATAATCTCTGTTGTTTGCATTTATAGTGTTTACCATCTCTACATAACAAGGTAGTTTGTTTCTGTTTTGTGCTAAAAATGATTAGCCCTGTGTTACTTGGTTAGATGGTTCTAGCCCTTCCCAGGGAATCCTAGAACAATACATTAATATGCCTAATGTTTGATCTATGCTAAAAGTTAACAAAGCATTTACCTATATTGTTTTATTCCGCTCTCCTTAGTCCCAGTAAGGAAAAATACCTATCTCTGTTATAGATGAGATATGGAACCTTCAGAACTCAAACATAAATGAATGTAATTAATGCATTTAAAGCAGGACACTTTTCTTTAAAAACATTAGAATAAGTGTTTTTTTTTTAATTAGTAGGTTAACATGTACAAGCAGAGCCTGATGCTACATAAATTTACCTACTGAATGACTAAACTCTTAGTTGAGCATTTTCTTTTAGGCACAAGGCTGCTAATCCAATTTTGAATGCCCCTTTGTCATCATTAATCCTTGTCTAACTCAGTATTATTGAACAGAAACTAGGTGTCTTTTCATTGCTGGATGTGGAAAGTGTTTCTTGTATGAGATTAAGCATTGTGAACATGTTTTTCCTTTCAGTGAATGTCTGGTATGTTTTACTTTGGTCACCTAATAAAGTATGTGCATCACTTAATCACTGCATTGAAATATATGCATAAAAATTCTTTAAGAAAGGTTTTTAGAAACTCATGTCATTCCACTGTTTTTTTACAGATTTTTTTTTCCTGTGTGACTTTGTATTTGACTGAAATCCTGTTGTGGTGAAAATCCTTTCTTCTTTCCTTATCATTATCAAAAATATCTTATATTTCCTGACTAGTGAAACATGACAATTTTACATATAAAAACTCACTTTTCTTTGCTCTCTAGGTAATCATCACCCCAATTTTCTCACACATCTTGATTTTCAACTAAGTTACCTTAATATTTCCCTGAGATAGGCAATTCTGTCCTAAATTTGAAATGTTATTACTATTGTAATTATCATTTCTGTTTATAAACTAAATTAATTAAGTTGAATTTAGGTTTTGATTTGGTTTAAGTATTCAAAAATAATCTTTCAGCCATGGAAACAAAGAAGTATTTTCCTGCCGAGGAATAAAACTGGCAGTGGATTGGTTTTTGGAAAGAGGCCACAAAGATGTTACCGTTTTTGTTCCTGCTTGGAGAAAAGAGCAGTCTCGACCCGACGCCCTCATTACAGGTAAGCTCATTACGGGCAGCTGTCTGTGCTTAGCTTCCATGGCATAGCTGTGCAGTGTCTGGTACTGTCCAGTATTCATCTTTCTGTTTACTCAGTGCAACTGCCATGTTCTTTTGGGGGGACACTTAAGTTTCTATGTTAATCCTTGCTAAATAAGCTAGTTTGTTGGTTTTTTACGTGACAACTGTTGACTTCAAATTTGTAAAAATCTAGCTTGTAGAGACATGCTAAAAGTCAGAAGACCTAGCTTTGAACTCTGGTTTTGCCACCATGCACTAGCCGTAACACTGAGCAACACAGTAACCACTTTGAGCCCCAATTATCTCATATACGTATGATATCAGACCAGACAGCAGTCAAATTCTAATGTCTGGGGTGCCAGAAAGACCTGTAAGCCCCTGCAGTATGCTATCCCATGTCAAAAAGGAAATGACTGGATCTAAATAAAATATTTATATCATTCGTTCATAGTAGATAGTGTATGCACTTGACAGAAAAAGACACCCTAATCGATCCTGGTCATGCCATGAGCCCCTTCTCCCACACACGGCCTCAGCATGATCAGGTCCACCGGGCCACAGAGCCAAACCTGTGCCTGGCCATGTGGCTTCTAGCACTGCAGTTCAGCATACTACCAACTACACCATTGAGGCTGAGTCCTATTTTGTATTTTAAACGTATGAGTTTTAGGCAGTGTCTACTGTAACTATTAATTATTGTTGTTGAATATTGTGCTTAATTTCAGTGATTAACAATCAACATCTGGGACCAGCAACTGGCATAATGTCTATGTCGCTGGACTCCCATGTAGTCAACTGCAGTTTGAGTCCCGGACCTGGTAGCTTAAGCTCACGCTAGACGCATGTGCTTGAGTGCCCAAGATCCCAAGAGGAGAATGGAGGAGAAAGGATTATGGCATGGCCATCACCCATGAGGGGTGATTTCTCTCTTTGCGTCTCTCTGTCTATCTCTGTCTTTCTGGCAAGTGCACGCGCCCTATAGCAAAAACCTCTCCCCCCCCCCAAAAAAAAAGGAAAGAAAGAAAGAAACAATCAACATCTAGTGCTTCACATCCTTCTCCCCACTCCAGTATTAACAAAAACTATAGGGACTGATGCGAAAAAAAATACAAAACTTCAAATTAAAAAGAAATTAAGAGACCACCTACCATGTACCCAAAGTGGACAATTATTTTAAGACTTTATTTTATCTAGTTATTAAATTATTGTTATATTAGTGTAAGAATAAGTAGGCAAGTAATGTTGGAGCCCCTAGCTATAGACTCAGGTGCTAGCCTATATGAAAATGAAAGGGTAGGTAGGCACATTCAACCAATATAACAAAAATAATGGATACCTCCGAAAAAATACTTTTTAGATCCTTATCTTATACTATATAATAATACATTACAGATAGTTTGAAGAATTAATTGTCAAAAATCAAAACATCAGAGATTATGAATAGTCTTTGAATGGCGGAAGAGCTTTCCAAGTATAAAAATTTTAGAAGATATTATAAAGGAAAAGATAACTATAACTACCATCAAAAGTTAAGCTTCTGGATTTTGAGAAACTTTCTTAAAAATAAGAATGATTATGTAATAGAACACGTATTCTTAACATAAAGAATTCATGTAGATCAAAACATTTAAAATAAAAAAAAGAAAGAATTCCTATAGATCAAGAAAGCAAATGCCTAGTGGATAAGGGAGCCAGACCCCTGATGGCTGACCAGCGTTTGGATCTCAACCCCAGTGGCTTGGAAAACATGCCAAATACCTGTGTTGTGTGCATACCCAGAATCTACCATACTCAAGGAGGACGGTACTTTCTTCCTTTCCCACCCTCCCTCTCTGTGATGAGCGCACATGCCCTCTGGCAATTAAAAAAAATGTAAAGCTCTCCCCATATAAGGGGAAAATAAGGAAAAAAAAAAGAAATTAAGAAAAAAAATAATAAGTTCAACCTCACTTCCTTGAGAGAATTACTTACGCACTGCTGTGGAGGTTGTTAGAACTTGTCTGGAAAACAATTGCTCCTAACATTTTAATACTTGGGGCCAGTAGGTGGCATGGTGGTTAAGGATGCTGGACTCCCTTATATGACTGCAGTTCAAGTCCCAGACCTGGAAGCTTTCTCTCTCTCTCTCATAAAATTAAAATAAATAAATAAAGTTGAATAAAATAATTTTTTTTTAAAAAATGGTAATATTCAGCCCAGCAAGTTGTATGGTGTGTTCAAGGCACTGGACTCTCCCATATGGCAGATGGTAGTTCTGAGTCCTGGACCTGACAGATTGCTTTCTCACTCTCCCTCTTTCTCGCTGTCTTTCTGGTCAAATTTGAAATAATAATAAATAAAATAATTGTTTTTTCAAAAAAGCTTCTTTTAAAAAGAAGTTAATACTCTCCTAGGGAGCCCCCTCCCCCAACATAAGGAGACTTAGAGGCAAATATTTCTGACAAAGACATTTAGTGTAGTATTATTAAGAAGAGGATAAATGAAAACAGTGTATATTTATATTTAAATGATTCAGTAAATTAGGATATATCGATATGATAAAAAGTATGCATTAGAATATTTAGGCAAAATGTTCAATGAGCTGAGGAAATGCTCTTTTATATAAAAGGCAGGTTTTATTACTCTGTACAGTGTACAAACATGCATACATGTATTTGTGTATACATATATATGAATATATCAATAATGGAAAGAAGAAAAAGACTCAGAAAATAACTAGAAGAAAATATGCCAAAAGGTTCACAGTGATTGCCTCTGAATTGTGGCTTTATGGGGTCTTTATTTTTTCCAACTTTTTGGTACTTAACATTCTTTTTTTTTTTAAAGATTTAATTTTATGTATTATTATTTTTTTTTTTAATTTGCTATAGGGAACATGTGCTCACCAGAGAGAGGGGGAGGGAAAAATAAGAAAGTAAGCCACCAGGTCTGGGACTCGAACTGCAGTTGGTTATATAGGAGTCCACTGCCCCATACACCACACTACTTGCCACCACCACCCCTGCCCCCGTACTTAATGGTTTTTTTGTTTGTTTTTTGTTTTTGTCTGAAAGAGATATTTTTGCTATAGGGCATGTGTGCTCACCAGAGAGACAGAAAGCAAGAAATTACCCCTCATGGGGAATGGCCACGCTGCAATCTCTTCTCTTCTGGTCACTTCTCAGGATTTTGGGCGCACACGCATACACTCCTGGTGTGAGTTTTAAGCTGCCAAGTCTAGGATTCAAACCACAGTCCACTACATGAGAGTCCAGTGACATAATCATTATGCTATCTGCTGGTTCCAATGTTCTTAATTTTCTACAGATTATATATAATAGTTTAATAATACAGGTTTGGGTGTGGGGGAAGTAAATTTTTTTAAAAAATACATTTAAGCATGTAGATAAACTGAAGCTTGAGCAGAAAAAGGACTATGACATCAGAAAGAAGGGAAAATGGTAGTAACCAAGTGTGAAGCATGGCTGATTTAGCTTCAAAATACCAGAATGCCAGTCCTGAACTCATTAGTCTACAGTTTACTTTGTAAAATGCCAGAACTATTGTCAGGGCCTTTTAGATGTTTTCTCCTTCAGGGTAATAATTCTGTTGACTAAATTCCTAACCAGACAATACCTGGTGAACAGCCTAGGGCTCTTTCACTACACAACAAAGAAACTTAAGGGGCCAGCAGGTGGCATGGTGGTTAAGGGTGCTGGCCTCCTGCATGGCTGAGTCCCAGACTTTGCGGCTTAGTTTCTCTTTCTCTCTCTCTCCCTCTTTCTCTCTCTCTTCAAATTAAAACAAACAAATAAATAAATAAATAGTTCAATAAAATAATTCTTCTTTTGCTATAGGGCACATGCGCTCGCCAAAAAGACAAAGAGACAGATACAGAAAGCGAGAAATCACCCCCAGGGGGATGGCCACGCCGCAATCCCTTCTCTTCCATTTTCCTCTCAGGATCTTGGGCACACACGCACATGCACCTGGCATGAGTTTAAGCTACTGGGTCTGGGACTTGAACCACAGTCGAATACATGGGAGTCCAGCAATGTAGTCATTATGCAACATGCTGGTCCCAAATAAAATAATTCTTTAAAAATAAAAAATAAAAAACTTGGTAGGAAGTATCTTAAAGTTGTCAACGCTGGTATGGACTAGCACTTTTGCAGTCATCCATTCCTTCAACAAATATTTAAGAAAGCACTAGCTGTGGACCATGTACTATGCTAGGATTCAGTTAACTTACTAGCTTTACTAAGCCCATGTTTATTTAAGTTAGGATACTGTGTGCGTCATCCTAATTAGTGTCTTTTTAACCTCATTAGCAGTTTAAGAAATGGAAATTAAACAAGATGAGGATGATTGTTAGGCCACCACATTTACCCCTCCAACCACTTTGATAAAGATCAGACATATCATATATGAGTAAATGTCCTCACAAATATTGGGTCTTCAGAAAAGTCATGATACATTTTAGCATAGAAAAACGTGAAAAAATACATCATGGCTTTTCTAAAGACCCAATAGTAAAGTACCACAGATTACTCATGAGCATAAGACATCACACGAATGTGTTTAAGGGCCTACATACTCATTCCACACACTCACTGCGCATCTACTGATGTGCTTCATGGACTGGGTGCTGTTCAGTGAAGGACCCATGGTGCCTATCCTCAAAATGTTTAGCCGGGAAGCACACAGAATTATATTATATGATAAGTCCCATTACTGAGACTGGGCTTTCGGTTTCTATATTGGTTATCTGTTATTTATTTATTATCATTTGGGGGGGAGGGTTTGCTATAGGGCACGTGTGCTCACCAGACAGAGAGAGAGAGACAGAAAGCAAGAAATCACCCCCCAAAGGGGGATGGCCACACCACAATCCCTTCTCATCCATTCTCAGGATTTTGGACACGCACACACACACGCCCAGCATGAGTTCATTTTTTTCAGCCACAGGGTCCAGTATGCGAACCGTGGTCAACTACATGGGAGTCCAGCGACATAGCCATTACGCTAACTGCTGGTCCCAGTTATCTGTTATTTTTAACAGCGATCCACAGTTACATACATCTGTCAAACAAAATGAAGTTGAGCACAGTGTGTACTGAGATCCTGCCAGGCGCTGTGCTCAGAGCCTTCACACGAGTTAACGCGTTTACTTCTCCCAACCTATCAGCTGCATTTAATGCCTCCATGAAACAGGCTCAACAAGATTGTGATTACCCTCTGTAGAAAGTGCCAGAACCTGCAATCTACCCTTGACCTGCTGATTCTGTGGCCCATGTTTCTTCCACCACTCCTGCTGCTTTCTAAACCAAAGTTCTGGTCTTAATGAACTCATTTGTCAGGCCTGCCTTCAGGGCCAGGTGCCAAGGGTAGAGCTCTTCCGTTCCCTGTGCCTGCATCCCTGCTCACTCTCCACTGTGGCAGTTACAACCCTGCTTACCTCATGTACATGTCTGTCCGATGCTTGCAGACTGGAACCCCCAGCACAGAACTTCCACAGAGTGGCATGTCTCAGTTGTCTGTTGAAAAGATGGAATACAAACCTAGTAACTCCTCTTAAGAATCACTGAGAAGTAGTGAGCCTTTCTTCCTTAAATCATGACATCTGTAGGCTTGCACCTGCTACTCTGCCAGAATTTACAATGGTGGATTTTAGGGGATGGAGAAGAAAGAGGAGGAAGATGGTTGAGAGAATGTTTTTGTCATTCATCAAAATATGAACTTTTAACACATTTTCCAATTATTTTTAATTGTCAGAGGGTATGTGCACTCACCAGGGAGAGGAAAAGAGGGAGAGAGGTTGAAAACAGCCTCCCTACGGAACTTGGTCATAGTAGTCTCTTCTCCATTTCTCCATCCAGTCGATTTTAGACACGCATGGACATATGCCTCCAGGGTCAGAATTCAGACCACAGTCAGCCATACGGGATCTAACTCCCTTTCTCCACCAGGCCGTGGAGCAGCCCAGCACCTTTTATTTATTTATTTATTTACTTACTTATTTATTTTTTTGAGCCACAATGCAAGTTAGTAGAGTTACAAAGTGTTGTAAAGGGATGCCAGCCACCAGCAAAGAGAGTATTTCTCTACCTTTTCTTTTTCTACCCACAGCCGTTTCCTCATACTCACTTTCAATCTCTTGCTCAGTCTGGCCCACACAGGAGTGCTAGTAGGCAAGGACACAGAACATAGTAGGCATGTCTTTAACAGTACTTCTGACCTCATTGCTCCCTTTTTCTTTGAATTTTGTGCCTTTTAAAATTTTCCCCTCTGCCACCTCACTACTTCTACTTCAAAAATAACGACAAAACACACAAACTTGGGAGGAGGAAGAATCTGTTGCTCACACCTGTTCCTTACACAACTGCTCTGCCAGGACGGCAGTGTGGTAAGGTGTAAGAAGCTGTGTTCGTAGTGGTTGTGTTGGCAGCTCCAGTTTTGTTTGTTTGTTTTGTTTTTGCTGTAGGGCACTTGTGTTCACCAGTGAGAGAGGAGAGAGTGAAAGTGAGAAATCACCCCAAGGGGGAATGGCCACGCTGCAGTCCCTTCTTCATTCTCCCCTTGGGATTTTGGACACGCACATGCGTACATGACTTGAACCATGGTTGACCATGTGGGAGTCCAGTGTTTTAACCAATATGCCATCTGCTGGCCCCGGAAGCTCCAGTTCTTAATGTAATGGGAACTAGTGGTTAGGCAAATGGATCCACATGGAAAAGGTCCAAAGTTGATATCCTAGAACTTCCCTGAGCACACCTGTGATCTAGGCTGGAGGAGACTGGGGTTGGATTGTTAGATAAAGATCCTATCGGGACTAGCACTTAACGTAATGGTTATGTCACTAGACTCCCATGTAGTCGACCACGGTTTGAGTCCCAGACCCAGTGACTTAAACTCACACCAGGCGCGTGTGCATGCATGTCCAAGATCCTGAGAGGAGCAAGGAGGAGAAGGGATTGTGGCGTGGCCATCCCCCCTGGAGGGTGATTTGTCGCTTTCTGTCTCTCTGTCTCTGTCTGTCTGTCTGGCGAGCACACGCACCCTATAGAAAAAAAAAAAAAAAACCTTCCCAAAATAAGAAAGAAAAAAAAAAAAAAAACCTTCCCAAAATAAGAAAGAAAAAAAAAAAAAAAACCTTCCCAAAATAAGAAAGAAAAAAAAAAAAAAAACCTTCCCAAAATAAGAAAGAAAAAAAAAAAAAAAACCTTCCCAAAATAAGAAAGAAAAAAAAAAAAAAAACCTTCCCAAAATAAGAAAGAAAAAAAAAAAAAAAACCTTCCCAAAATAAGAAAGAAAAAAAAAAAAAAAACCTTCCCAAAATAAGAAAGAAAAAAAAAAAAAAAACCTTCCCAAAATAAGAAAGAAAAAAAAAAAAAAAACCTCTCCAAAATAAGAAAGGAAAAAAAAAAAACAAAGATCCTGTCAAGGTGCCTATCTCTCTGTCTCTCGTGGAAGAAAAAGATGCTACATCTACAACTATAAATCATCCCTAACTAAATAATTACATATATCTAGTTCATGTTACAAAGCCCACACTGTATTAAAGTTGTCATATGTATTATGTGTATATTTATTACTGAAATTCTACCCTTTTTTGCAGATCAGGAAATTTTACGTAAATTAGAGAAGGAGAAAATCCTGGTGTTCACGCCATCCCGGCGAGTTCAAGGGAGACGAGTGGTGTGTTACGATGACAGGTTCATTGTGAAGCTGGCTTTTGAGTCAGACGGCATAATTGTATCCAATGATAACTACAGGGATTTGGCCAATGAAAAGCCAGAATGGAAGAAGTTCATAGATGAGCGATTATTAATGTATTCATTCGTCAATGACAAGTAAGTATAACTTTACTGACCAAGGACACTGCTTCCCTGAAAATATAACTATCCCAGAAGATGGCATAATGATTACGTTTCTGAACTCCCACGTATTCCATCGTGGTTTGAGTCCTATACCTGGTGACTTAAAACTACCTGGGTGTATGTGCATGCATGCCCAAAATCCCAGGAGGGGAATGGAGAAGGTTACGGTGTAACCATCCCCCTGAGGGGGTGATTTCTCACTTTCTGTCTCTGTCTCTCTGGCAAGCACATGTGCTCCATAGCAAAAATCCCCCCCCAAAAAAAAATTGTTTACATATATATATAAACTATCCCTGGCAGCTGTTACAGAATCCTTCCCCTTTTGCTACTGACTATACCTAAGACAGGTTTCTTTTTTTCTTTTTTTTAAGAATTATTTATTTAATTTTGGGGCTGGGAGGTGGTGTGATTAAGGGTGCAGGACTCCCACATGGCCAACCGTGGTTTGAGTCCCCGACCTGGTAGCTTGCTTCTATTGAATTTTATTTATAATTATTTTTTAACTTGCTATAGGACACATACTGGCTGGGGCAGGGGTGGGGAGAGCAAGAAAGCAAGCCCCCAGGTCTGGGACTCGAACTGTGGTCAACCATGTAAAAGTCTAGCACTTTAACCACCATGCCATCAGCCGGCCCCAAGACAGGTTTCTTCTAACAGCTGCTCAGTCTCCCCACACATCCTGGTGGGGTGTCAGAAGAACTGTAGAGTCACTGAGGAGGGGGCCGTATGTGAGCAGCAGGCGTTACCCTTCCCTTCCCTGAATATCACCAGCAGAGCACCTGTGGCAGAGGAAGTCTGCCAGTCCCCTTGATAGCTGACAGGGGGAGAGTCCCCATCCTCACCCTCAGAAACTGCCATTCGAAATCAATTTAGAGCATGGGTGGCTTGCTAAATACATAATTTTTTAAAAGCTGTTATGACATTATAAGATTCTAGTCATGATCAGAGTCTGCAACTGATGAATGGACAAGTGACGTGAACAGGCACTGTCTCATGAGACATAAGATATATTTAAAAAAAAAAAATAGCTTACCTCTTGTTGATCAAAAATTCAAACCAAAGGACCAGCAGTTAGCGTAATGGCTGTCACTAACCTCTCACGTAGTCGACCGTGGTTTGAGTTCCGGACCCCGTGGCTTAAACTCATGCCAGGCGCGTGTGCGTGCATGCCCAAGATCCCGAGAGAAGAATGGAGGAGAAGGGATTGCGGTATGGCCATACCCGCCATGGGGCGGGGGGGGATCTCTCGCTTTCTGTATCTCTGTCTCTGTCTTTCTGGCGAGCGCACATGGCCTATAACAAAAACCTCTCAAAAAAAATTTTTTTTCAAACCAAATCTAAAGAGTGTATTTTCTCACCCATTTAATTTGCAAAAAAAAAAAAAAAGTATGCCTTATGTTGTTAAAGATACATGTGAGTGGACACACAATTGGGTACAGGTTAGCAGAAGCCTAAAAAATATGTGGACCCTCTCAACTCAGTAATCCATTGCTTGGGATATATAATGAAGAAAAAGAAACCAGATATGTTCATTTTAGTATTATTAAAATTGCAGGAATTCAAAGGCAGCTAAATGTACAATAGAGAAATCAATCAAATTGTGATACATCTACTAGGGTATCATTTAGCTATTCATAATTCTGGTCTGTTAAGAAACATGAAAAATATTTTTATGTTATAAAGACAAGCCATTAGGTTTTACTTGTTTGGTAAAACTCATGTAAAATAATGTTCATATAGAAAATTACTTAAAACCAAAAAAGACGGAAAATAATTATACAGGCATTAGGGTAGTGGGATTGGCCAGCTGCATTGGTATACTGGTAATGCAATATCCCATGATACTGACACTGTTCCACATGGAAAGGTCCAGGATTCACATCTTCCATGTCTGTTTATCTCTTTCTCTTTCTATCAGAAGAAATGAATACAGTTAAAAAATGAATATTAGGCCACCTGGTTGCTTGGTGGTCGAGTTGGTGGGTCTTACATGGCCAACTGCACGGCTCAAGTCCCGGACCTAGCAGCTTAAAAAGCGCACTGGTCACACAAGTATGCCCAAATTCCCAAAAAGAAGAGGAGAAGGAATTATGGTGGGACCATCCCCCCTGAGAGTGCTTTCTCACTTTCCCTGCCTCCTGCAACAGACGCACCTGCTAGCAAATTTCTTTTAGTGAATATTAAAATTACGGGGTTTTGTGACTTTAATTTTTAATGTTACCTTATGGGTTTTATAATAATAAACAGTGTTTGTAAGTTGCTAAGGGTTATTACTCAGAGTGTATACATTATTCAAATTATTCACATTTTGTAGTCAAATACTTGGGTTTGTTTCCAGTTTAACCAGTGACATACTGAGCAGAATTCCTCAGTCATAACTTTGTTATGCATAACATGAATTCTGATTTCCTGCATTGTATAGTCAATCCAAAATGACAAGTTTACTTCACTAAGAGTTTTGAATGTCAGCCTAGAACCACTTTAGTATAGTAAGAAGAGAATAGATTTTGGAATCAGACGTAATTGAATCTGGACTCAGCCATGTGATGCTAGATAAAAATTAAAAGACTCCAGTCTCTCCCACTGCCAAATTCTACTATTGTCAACATACCTATTTTAATGTTCCAGAATAAATTATTTCCTGCTGTGCATTTTTTAAAAATTTATTAAATTCAGCTAAACATAAGTTTAGAAAGTTTATTTGTAAAACTGAGTTAATACTTCATGAGATTACAAGGGGGCTTCAAAAAGTTTGTGAAGAAAATGAAATTAAAGTAAATGTTTATTTTGGTGCAAAAATATTTTTGAAATCTATGCATTGTTTTTTCATAATACACATTTCCCACAAACTTTATGAAGACCCTTTGTATTATTATGGTGAAGTGAAATGTGTGTGAAGTGTCTGACAGAGGACTGGGATCTGGTGCGTCCTTGTAATCTCATCGCCTTCTGCTACCTATCCCAGCCCTAGATACTTCACAAGGTTTACAAAGCTCTCTTAAAATGTCATTGTAATCATTTTTTAGAGCCATGCAAAGCTTAAAACTTACTTAAATTACAGAAAATACAAATTCAGCTCAAAATATTTTAATTTTGCTAAGGAGAACTTAGTGTACTTATTTTTTTTTCTCCGATAGATGTTGACTCAAAATACTTGGATTAAAATTTCAAAACAATACCTGTTAGCAAACCCTTCCTTGTACTCTATCTTTAGAATTAAATTATCCATTTCCTACTTCGGTATCATTTTTTAAAATTTTTTCTATGACAGGTTCATGCCCCCTGATGACCCTCTTGGCAGACATGGCCCAAGTCTCGATAATTTTCTGAGGAAGAAACCTATTGTTCCTGAACACAAAAAGCAGCCCTGTCCATATGGTAAATTTCTTTATGAATGTTTCATATATGCCTTTAGAACTCAATATACTGTTAAGCTTCTGTTAATAAAAAGAAACATTTGAAAGTTTAAATGATACAGTATGTGGTTCTTTCAGTTATAATTAAACCTTAAGAAATGCCTTTTCCATAAAAAAAAAAAAAAAAGTTATGTTTACCTATTTGGGTTCAACACAAATACATTTCCCTGAATTAAAATAAGGTTCAGCGGGAACAGCAGATGGCATAGCAGTTATACTGCTGAACTCCCACATGACCAACCACAGTTTGGAGTCCCAGACCCAGTGCTTGAAAATCACTCCAAGCACATGTGTGTGCATGCCCACGATCCTGGGGAGGAGAATGGAAAAGAAGGGATTGTGACTCAAAAAAATACTAATAATAAGGTCCAGAAAATTCAGTTAATTCTAATACAGTTAGTTTTCAGATAGATAAAAATTTGGCATTCTTATTTGTAATACAAATCAGATAAGCACAGTCCTACCACATCATGGCAGGACATGTTGCTCTTCAAAGCAGCATTTCAGGGACCAGCTGATGGCAGAATGGTTATGTCACGGATTCTCACATAGTCGAGTACAGTTCAGGTCCCAGACTCAGTGGCTTAAAACTCACACAGATACATGTGTTTGCCCCAAATCCCCATAGAGTAGAATGGAGAAGAGATTACAGCATAACCATCACCCCTGGGGGTTGATGGGTTGATTCCTCACTTTCTGTCTCTCTCTCTCTCTCTCTCTCTCTCGCTCTCTCTCAGGAGAGTGTACATACCTTATAGCAAAAATCTATTTTAAAAAATTAAAATTAAAAAAAAGCAGCATTTCCTACCTGATTGTAAACTGTTTTTGTCAGAGAAGATGCAGTTCTGAGTCGAGGACTTGGGGTATTAGTCAGAATCTCTGAAGGGGATCTTTAGTCATTGAGCCCCATTTCTTACTGCTCTTGAGCGCAAGAAGAAAAGTAACCTTCCTCAAGATTAAAAAACAATAAACACCTAGCATCCTTCCCATTGCTCCATTTGTTTCCTTTACAAGTTAAAATAGTAGTGCCAAACTGAAATTTCAGGATCCGATTGTTATGCTCCTTTACCTAATTAGTTTTACTCTTCGTAGGGAAGAAGTGCACCTATGGACACAAGTGCAAATATTACCATCCCGAAAGGGGCAGTCAGCCTCAGCGGTCGGTGGCTGATGAACTTCGTGCCATGTCCAGAAATACAGCAGCCAAAACTGCAAATGAAGGAGGACTCGTGAAAAGCAACAGTGTTCCCTGTAGCACCAAGGCTGACAGCTCTTCTGATGTCAAGCGAGGCGCTCCAAAGAGGCAATCGGATCCAAGCATACGAACTCAAGTCTACCAAGACCTAGAAGAAAAGCTTCCCACCAAAAACAAATTGGAAACCAGGTCTGTACCTTCCTTGGTTAGTATACCGGCTACTTCTACTGCAAAACCCCAAAGCACTACATCTTTAAGCAATGGCCTTCCATCTGGAGTTCATTTCCCACCTCAGGATCAAAGACCACAGGGACAATATCCTCCGATGATGATGGCAACCAAAAATCATGGAACGCCAATGCCTTATGAACAGTATCCCAAATGTGACTCGCCCGTTGACATTGGATATTATTCCATGTTGAATGCATATTCAAATCTGAGTATCTCAGGCCCACGAAGTCCTGAAAGGCGTTTCTCGTTAGACACGGATTATAGAATAAGCTCTGTAGCTTCCGACTGCAGCAGTGAAGGGAGCATGAGCTGTGGGAGCAGCGACTCTTACGTGGGGTACAATGACCGATCCTACGTCAGTTCTCCTGACCCGCAGCTAGAGGAGAATTTGAAGTGTCAGCACATGCACCCTCACAGCCGCCTTAATTCCCAACCTTTCCTGCAGAATTTCCACGACCCCTTAACCAGAGTGCAAAGTTACAGTCATGAAGAACCAAAGTTCCATCACAAGCCTCCTCTGCCACACTTGGCTGTGCACCTCCAGCACCCCTCCGTGGGGGCACGGTCCAGCTGTCCTGGCGATTACCCCTCTCCTCCAAGTTCAGCACACTCTAAGGCACCACACCTCGGGAGGTCCTTGGTAGCCACAAGAATAGACAGCATTTCTGATTCTCGACTTTATGACAGTTCTCCTTCAAGACAAAGAAAGCCTTATTCCCGCCAGGAAGGGTTGGGGAGCTGGGATAGGCCGAGTTACGGGATCGATGCCTACGGCTATCGGCAGACTTACTCCCTGCCCGATAACTCCACGCAGCCCTGCTACGAGCAGTTCACCTTCCAGAGCCTACCTGAACAGCAGGAGCCAACCTGGCGAATACCATACTGTGGAATGCCACAAGATCCTCCAAGGTACCAAGACAACCGGGAAAAGATTTATATCAACTTGTGCAACATCTTCCCACCTGACCTTGTGAGAATTGTCATGAAAAGGAATCCCCACATGACAGACCCCCAGCAGCTTGCCGCAGCCATTTTAGTGGAGAAATCACAGCTGGGTTATTGAAAGACGATGCATCTTTGTGGTGTTTAGTAGTTTTTTGTTCAGCTCAAATGCTGAGGGAGGTTTGCTACAATAGCACATGTGATCTCCTTCTCAGCAAGGAGGTTATATAGTATCCATTTATGTGAAATACTGTATCATGGAATCTGTATGTATAGCCCCACACGGTGGAAGCATCACGGGATTGCTTTACATTCAAACTTTTTTTTAACATTTCCTTTTTAAAGCTATATCTTTGGCTGGAAATTTTTCCAGTTTGATTTACTAGATGTATCTGTGATCTTTGATATTAATCTTTGGTGCATCAGGGGTTTATATGCAGCACTTTTTATTCTTGTTTCACGTTTTATTAACTTGATGTTTGTCTATCAATTGCAAGCAATTACAATACCTTCAGAATGTGGGACATTTGACTAGACCTAGCCAACTATTTTTTCAAGCCAAGCTTAATTAGACTCTTTTACAGCTTTTTAAGTTATTTTTATTTGGGGAAAGTGGGCTTTGTGCTATAATCATAATTTATAGAAACAAAAATATACTACAGCACTGACTTTATATTTTAAACAAGATGTTAAGTTACCAGTTTGTGTTGAAATGGGTAACAGTATATATTAGAATGATTTACAATATGGCACTTTTTCATTGTTTTATTTTTGTTTGGATTTTTTTTCTGTTAAGAAATTAAATTAATATGGTCAATTTAAAAGGAAGCAAATGCAATCAATGGAAAAAAAATTGTTTCCTTTTTTTTTTTTTTAAAGTAAAAGGCAAAAGCCGCAACTGTTCCAGGTTAAAGCTTTGTTATCCAGCTATGATGTGCTTCTTAGACAGTAGAAGTGGAAGCAAATTCCTAGATTTCCATTAACCTATTTTTAATATGTCCATCTTTTTGTTTGGGGCACAACAATACTGGATAAAAATAACCCTTTCGCAGTTTTAATGCTTGTTTTTAATGAATCTGATTATTCTCAATGCAACTTTTATATTTAATATATTCGTTAGCTTTCTTGCTATTGTCAAGGCCGGCCTGAGGCGGTTTTACGTACTGAGGATATGCAACCGTTACTGATACTGCACTATAGACATGGTATGGAGGACTTGTAAATGGTAACTTAAAATTTTTGTAAGATATTGTATATTTTCCATTTTCCTGAAGGTAGTTTTTTTGTTTTTGTTTTTGTTTTTCCAGAGGCCTGTTATATTATTAAGGCCAGATTCTTGCCACAAATAGTGTAGTTTTAGACACAGACTGAAGTCTGTTCTAGTATTAGTAAGGGATATTTCTGGTTTCAAAGTCATGGGTTTTGCTAGCTGCAAATACATTTCTGCAGATTCCAGGTTAGATTTGATGGTCAGTGGCAGACAGTTGTGTGAGTAGCATAACTTGACTTGCCTCCAGATTCTGAGCTTTCCTAGTGTAACAGGCGTTCATACCTGTTTCTGTAGTCTGCCTAAACGCCCGGGTTATTCCAGTTATTCTACATGCTACAGTTTGAAGTAAAGCCCTGAAAAACCAGAAAGTACCTTTTACTGTTGATACAAATTGTATCTTTTTAACTATAAGAACTATTTTGATTTGTAGATCTAGTTAAAACACAAGTGTGTAACTTATGATTAGACTTTTGGGCAACATTTTATCTCTTATTTAAATAACAAATTTTTGAAGTAAAATTGAGGTCTAGAATAGAGTAGAAAATAAAATTAACAATTTAGGTAAATAAAAGTGTCTGTCTTAGTTTTATATAATATATTAAAACATATTAAATAAATTTATTGGCATTTTCTTTCTCCTAAAACTTATCTAGCGTGAACTTAAAATAAAGGTAAAATGCTGCCTGAAAATAATGTCCAAGCACCTTTGACTAGGATAACATTTCCACTACTTGTGTGACACTGTGTGTTGCATGAAGTAGGATTTGGGTATACAGTAAATGCTTCTAAAAGGCATTGTGCATATTGTGACATATCCAATAATCTGAACCATGTTCAGCAAACTTAATTCAGGAAAGTGGTATTCTACACAGTGACTGCTGTTGTGTTCGAAGTGAGTATGACACTCATCTACACCCAGAAATAACCCAGGCGATGCCACGCCAACCATTCCACGTGGTGTCTGAGAGCAACTGGACTCATTTGTGAAATTGTTCTCCTCAATTTTGTCGGTCACTATCTATAGAAACGGTTTCACTGCAGAGGCTAACCCAGTGCCAAAAATAGGATGACTAATGTGTAGTACCTTTCACTGTAGTCATATTCTAAGATTTTTTTTTAAATATATGAAATCACTTTTAAATTGTACAGTGTAGGTGCAGCTTCCCTCTTCCTCCATTTAGCATTTTAATTATTAGAAGATTCTGCCAAACTTCACTGAAATTACTTAAATGAGATCTTAGGTGAACTGTATATACTACTTTTAATTTGACCTTCTACTGTTTTTGGCTACTTGTCATTGCCTCATCGTTTTGAAACTATGGGAAATAGTGCACCAGCTGCTACCTGTACTGAAGTGATGAGCTCTGAACCACCTACACTGAAATCCGTCAGTGTAATCAACTGTGAGTTAAGGAATAGTTTTTTTACATCAAGAGGACAGGTTGTCCCCCTTTTGTGAAGCACCAGGATTGCTTTCAGAGCTTCAGAATGAGATGATTGGCAGGTATTAGGTACAGCAAATTCTTATCTAAAGCAATAAGTAAAAGGCGTTCTTCATTAAATTAAATCCAGAGCTAATCACAAACCTTCATTTTCACCAAAACTTCCTTCCTAATCAATTCTTTTAACCAGACTTACTAATAAATAACCAGAGAGAAATGTGTTAATAAGTAGTGAAATTGCCAGAATGGTCAGCAAGTAGAACGACGATTCAGACTGGAATATTCTGCCCCTGAATAATTGACAGTTGACTGTACTTTCCACAGTAATTTAGCCAGCACGCTGTCTCTGTGTCTTAGCCCAGAGGGAATAGTACCCAGCGGGCCAAATGTTGGCCCCTAGTATTTGCTCCTTTCTCGCATGTGATAAAAGGTGTTTCCAGCCTCATTTCTATGATCTCTATATCCTGATAGAGTTTGTCATTGACCTAAACATTTGCAAGCAATGCACACCAGTATAAAATACTTGATACTGGTGGAAACTTGAACTTTTGTGTTTTTATGAAAATTCATTTATGAGAATATGTAATATAATTAAAGAGAGTATTTTATATATATACTATATAAACACGTGCTTATTTGTTATGAAGTATTAAAAATGGGGGAAGGGTGCTTTTGATGGCTATCTTTTTCCTAATTGAACGATGTTTCTTTGAATTGTAGAAGACCAAGTCTGGGGTCTGGATGGCCAATGATAAGATTTAAAAACACTCGAGTGGAAATAGCTCTTCACTGGTTTTATTATTAGTATTTTTTAAGAATTATTTTGATAATTTTAATAGAATGTGTAATTTTAAAATACACAAAAAACTTAAAAGTAGTATTGATTATAATTATTTAATGTGTCTTTTATCGATGTATCTATATGTATATAGACAGTAATATATTTATAAAACAAATATACTTTGATTATGGCTGTAGCTCTTAAGTTTGTGACGGGGGGAGGACCGCTCCGAATGTGTGTGTGATTTTTGAAAACTCGAGTGGTTTCTCCTCCAACTTAATAGCATATACTCTAAAGTAGATTTGGTTTTCATTATTATTTTTTGCTGTCCAGTTTCCTTATTCAAGATAAAATAAGATGTAGTTTCTGGCCATTCCATTAGTATAAGGATCATCCAATTTATTATCATCTAACTTCTGGAGAATTCCCAACTAAATTGAAATCACACGTGGTATGGCTAGAGATAGTAGTAATGTTCCAAATACAGTAAACATAAAAACTCAGTTGAGATATTAAGTTTTCATGATATATACCATTTAAAAAAAAAAGTAGTACACACATGCATTAGAATAAGAGAAAGTAGAGTATTAATAAAAGTAAAATGCACACATTATTTTAGACTGGTCTTGGAAAAATCCCTAGGGCAAGGGTTGGCAAACCTCTGGAAGTAATTCAGCTTAGGGGCCCAGCCACTGAAGGGTAGGAAGTAAGGCATTGCTGGTGGTACTGGCCATACCGGTGGCTTGGACTCAGATCATGGGTTGACCCTTAACATGCTGGGCATCCACACACCCATGATTCTGGTTGGCTGGAAACTAGGGAGGAATTTTCAAGGGCAACCCTTGTTTTTCAAGAAATAAATACAAATTAAACTTTAAAAAATAATAATTTAGGCTACAGGAATTACATGGTCTCACAAAACCACTCCCCTCTGCCTTGATAGTGTATCAGCAGCCACAAATAATATGTAAATGAATGAGTGTGACTTCGCCCCAGTAACCTTTTGGTCATAGGAACAGGCAACCAGCCAGATTTGGCTTACGGGCCAGAGTTTGCTGATCCCTGCCCTAGAAGGAGAAAAACAGGCAAATGAAGCAGAAAGTCCCGACGTGTGTTAATAGAAGAAATAATCATTGGGTTTCGGTTGACACACAAAGAAAAGTTCATGGTTATTGATGTCCTTCAGGAGTAGATTGTGAGACAGTCTTTTTAAAGCATCTTTATTAATTTATGTTTTCTACTTGGTCACACCCATTACTTATCAGAGATACTGTGTTTAACTTCAACAAAAGCATTCTGTAAAAAGATATTTTCCCTTGCTGACCTTTTGTTTTCTAATGGCCACATGGACAAAAAAAAAAAAATCTTATTTTGAAAATTACCATAAAATAAGTCACAAATATATTCAAGACTACATTTATCAGATTTTTTTTTTCTGCTGGTTTTGGCTCCAAATGAATGATAGGTCCTCTCTTTTAAAATGATTTTAAAGAAGATATATAAATATACTGTAATTTCACATTCTATAGCTTTATTCTATAAGAATAAAAATTGTGATTAGTGTCATTGTAGTTATAATGTGAGCATATGGGTTACATTGTACTCTTTATAAGAAACAAAGTGTATCCTCGCTTTCTCTGTCCAAATCTTTAGTCTAGACTCTTTGGACACCTTAGGACTGTCCTTGGTGAATGATACTCTTAATGTGATCATGTGTAATTTTGCATTTGTGGGAAGTACACACTGCCGAGTATGTTCATTCACGGTATGAAGCCACATGGTGTTACTTCAATGACATCATTTTCATAAGAACATTAAATAGTTGTGGACATTACCACCCACTTAAGTAATACACATTCTTTTAAAATTGGCATGCAATTCTAGCTTTAATGGTGTTTATTGTTTTTAAACAGCTGGGGTTTTTTTTCTTTAATGCCTTCTGTTGACTTGTGTATTAATCCTGTTAAGATAATACTGTTATGTATTACAAGTGGTGTTTTCTGTAAGAGCAATCCTTCCTTAGTCTTTTCAGATTTCAAAACAACTCAAGGTTTTAATATTTGGCAATAGAAAATGTCTGTGCATACTTTAATTTAGCTTTATAAAGTTTCACTTCTTAAACCATGTACCAATTTCCTGTCCAAGTGTATTGGATGAATAACAAAATGTCCACTAACGCTTTTGCCACCTTTTTTAACCAGCTTGTATCTCAAGGGAAAAGATCCTGAAGTGAAACAGTTTGTTTTGAGAAAGAATATGTTTAAGATTTCCAATTTTTGAAATGATACATTTCTTACCTTATGTGGAGTATTCACAGACACAGCATTTTATTGCAAGTATATCAGGTTAGTCTATCTTTTCATTTGAGTTTTCTTTTCTCCTACATCATAGTTGTATGCAACAGTAAAATTTCCAATTTGACCCTGCAAACTTTTCTTACCTGAAAAGGCAAGATATGTTTAGAGCAACCATCTGATAAACTGATGTGACTCATTTATTCTGTCTGTTCTGTATGTTTCTGTAATGGAATATTTGCAATTCCAAAAGCAGTCTTCTAGTCCAACTGGAAATCCATTTAAAAACAGCCATGTTATTCTGCCACTGAGGGAAAACAATTAAAAATTCATTTTTCTTATGGTGGTTTGTTTGGTTTCATGAAGACACTGACTTCATACGGCAGCCTAGGTGCAATAATACCTGAGTAAGCATCCCCCTCTACGCAGCCTGTGGCTCACCTGCGCTCAGCGGTTAGCAGCCTTGTGATCACGTAGGATAAGCACATGTCCCAGGCCAATGCATTAGAGCCATAACTAGTTCCTGTAAAGTTGAAATTAAATGCCAAAGACAACCAGTCATAACTGAAGACATGGCCAGTGTGTTTCCTTTCTAATCAGTCACTGAGGTAGCTGTTTCTGGAGGTTTCTAAGTCTCACCAGGCATCTGGTGAAGACAATGATGGTTGAGAGGGACCTTGTCCAGTGAGTTTATATATATTTAAATTAAAAAAAAAAAAAAAAAACCAGCAACAGTGGGATGGCACTGGTGTCCTCTTTTCTGGTGTTTTGCACTGTTAAGTGGATAAAAAGCCTTGTGACTCCTCTGAGTACAGTGGTCTACACTGGAACTGTGCAGTACTGAAGTGTGTGAAGCCCGGAAAAGTGCTGGCTCTCAGAGAATGAGGGCCAGCATGTCTCCTTCAAGGAGTTCATCTTGTTAGCCCAGCTGGAATCTGCAAGGCAACATGGTCAACATGAATACATACTTCTTTTAAGCAAGATTTTAAAGCTATAGGGCACAGGTGTTTCCCAGAGAGAGAGGAAGTGAGAAATCACCCCCCAGACGAGATGGCCACACGGCAATCCCCTTCGTTCTCCTCTCAGGATCTTAGGCACACATGCACATGTGCCCAGAGTAAAAGGACAGCTCTTAGTGGCCATTTTGATCCGTTTGAGAGTTGAAGCTGAAACACTTAAATCACCATGGGGAAAATGCTCTAACAGATTGGAAGAGATTGCGGAGAGCTGTCATTACTGAGGAGGGTTGTGTTTGGTTCTGAGTCCTACATGTGTCCCTAAGATGTACACACACATCCTACAGACACACAATGACACTGAACATAGAGAAGCTGAGCAAGTCGTCATTCAGAGAGAGGCCTTTGACACTTAGCCAGAAGGTGGTGTTAGTGCCTATTTTGCAGGCTTACTGTCACCAAGTAAATGCTTTTGCTGGCAGTGGGCAAGAGGATGATTCAGAGACAGATGCAAATAATTCAATGCTGCACCTACCTCACTCTTGGCAAAGTAAACAGGAATCTTCATTTTATCCTCCCTGTTTTCTACCAATGAAAAAAAGGTCACAGTACCAAAATGTTCTAATGGTCCTCACGATTTAACAGTCATGTCCTGTATGAGAGCTTAGAAACCATTTTACTTGCGATAGCAGGCTGCTGCTCCTGCATTCCTGTCCAGCTTTCCCAATAACAACACAACGTCAAGCCCCGTGGGAAGGGCCTGGGCTCGCATCCTCAGCTATCTCTGTACACCGAGGGGACCTGTGTGTGCTGTGACCGACTGGCTGAGACCAGGGGTGAGTCACGATGTGAGGACCCTTTCGAGGGTGCCTCGCTTTTGCGTAAGAAATAAAACATTTTTGGAAAAAGGTTCGTGGAAAATGTATGTTATGAAAAAACTGCATGGACTTTCTTTTTCCTTTCTTTTTTTTTTTTTTTTTTTGGCACCAAAATACTTTGATTCCACTTTTCTATGAACTTGTTAAAGCCCCCTGGTTCTTGTGAGCATTTGTACCTCAGCCTGGAGTGCTGCTTTGGACTTAGCAGTGTTCCTTTTTGTATCTTTGGAGGGTTTTTGAAGGATTTTTTTAAAAGCCTTTTAACATTTTAAAGGTTTCCTTTTTTAAAGAGGTATAAAGTAACCTTTTAAAAATGTACTCTTCTTGCTGTGTAATCATGAGCCTCCGGGGTAAGAGGAGGAACGAGTTCCTCATATCCTAGACCTGTAGACTGGCAGGTTCTCAGCAGGGTGGTCATTGGCCCTGTCTCCTAGACCAGAAGAGCTGAATGAGTAAAACCCTTTGAACATGCAAATCCCGTGTGTGCTCAGTAAGTGACAGCTATTGTTATGTAAATGTATCGGGTATTTAAATACACAGTCATTTTCAGAAAGTCTCATTAGAGCCCTCCATATCTGTGTATTTTTGCCATGAAAGAGTTTGAATGCTAACGATATCTGATATATTCAAAGGTGAGGTCCAAGAGTGACGACAGTTCAACCTTCAAAGAGTTCTTGGAACCCGCTGCCTGGCTATCTGCATCACTAGGCCCTTCTTGGTTTAAGGGTTTTCTACATATCAAAATAAAGAAATAAAGGAAATAAATGGAGTAACAGTGATTACCAAAAAATAAATAAATAAATAAATAAAGATAAACATTCTAGAATCTCATAGCTAAGTATGTCCTGGAGTAGGACCCCCCTTCCAACAGACTCCACTTTTACTCCCGAAGGTAACACCTCGCAAAACTGCCTGCACCTCTCACCACCCCACGTGTGGTCCCTTTCTATAAGAACCTTTCAGAGCTGATCTGGAGAGAGTGCTAGGTGTCTGTGGCCTCAGAGAGCCCTTGCACATTTCTGGGAAATGTGGAGAGGGGACAGGCAGGGGTATCATTCACATTTGAGGGTACAGAACTGTATATTCGCATAAATTCTGTGAAACGAGCTTTATTCGTACTTCAGAAATGAGAAAACCAAGACTCAGAAAAGTGGGAGCATTCACTTGAAGGCAAGCCCGTGGTTAGAACCCCTGTCTCCATGCTTCCAAACATCTTTCCCATGTTACTATGCTGCAACAGAACTAGGGATGGGCCAGGATCATCCCTGGTACAAGTTGTCTAAAAATATTGAGGGGTGAAGAATGAAAGCCATTTAGTCTATAACTGCACTTTTTTTTTTAAGAGAGAGATTTTTGCTATAGGGCACATGTGCTCACCAGAGAGAGACAGAGACAGAAAGCGAGAAACCACCTCCCAGGGGGATGGCCAATCCACAATCCCTTCCCCATCCTCCTCTCAGGTTTTTGGACATGCATGCACACACACCGGCATGAGGTTTAAGCTGCTGGATCAGGAACTCAAACCGTGTCCACTACATGGGAGTCCAGCGACATCACTACGACGCCATCTGTTGGTCCTGTAACTGCACATGTTTAAACATGCTGGGGTCAGGGATTGATTAGGAACTATATTAAACAGCGCCTCCATTTCTCTCCTGCAGACACACACACCTTCCACACGACCATTTTCATGATGAGCACAACAAGGGAGTCCCTGGTATTTGAGGAAAAGGTTACCCAAAGATCTGCCTGGCCTGGGGCTTGTGACAATGGCCCCGGACCAGGACTCAAAGCCAGCTGACCAGGTCTCAGTGCTCAGGGCCCCCGTAGAACCGTGATATGCAGCACTGGTTGGGTCTGTGTCCAAAGGAGTTACATGAATCTGGGCTCCCATCTCCTCTCCTTAGCATCCGTGGTAGTGCTGTAGCAGAAAGGCAGTGTTCAGTTTTAGTGTCTCCAATCCTGCACGAGGCCCTTCCCCTTGTCTTTGAGAAGGCCCATTTAGCTTTCAGACTCTTGACAATGCCCACTGCAAACACAGCACCTTTTATGTTGAAGCAGCTGTCATTTGCATTTCCCTGTGCTTTCTATTTGCACAGATTCAGCATGAGATTAGAAATAGAAACTTTAATTAGGTGACCAAACAGATTCCCTTCCCAGTTCCCCAGGAGAACTCAGTGAGGGACAGAATACTGAAAGAAGAGGAAATACAGTGTTTAAATGCACTTTCTGCTATTGACCAGAGGTCTGGGCAGGCAGGTCTCAGTGCCCAGAGAGTCCCCCCTCATCCTCTGGGACAGAGTGGGGTGGTCCCCATCAGGGTTGAGATTTTCTTACTGTCTCAACCATCAAAGCTCTCCTCTCTCCCTCTTCACTCCCAAGGATGTAATTATCACTCATTTGAATAATTGTTCCAAATATGCATGTGAAAAGATTAAGGGAGATGGCAAATACAATTTGGTAACTACATGAAAAGCTATTCAATAAACTCCAGAGGAGATTTAGGGGTTTGCTATGTACATTCCCAAATTAACAAGACAGGAAAAGTTCAAGGGCCATAGCAAATGCAATGCACATTAAGACACCGCAGATTATAAAGGGAAGAGCAGAGCAAGATGCATGTTCTAGTCCCAGCTCAACTGCATTGCCCGTGTTGAGCTAAGGGAGGAGAGAATGAGAAAGGGGTCGGTGGGGACTGGAGAAAGGCCTTACCCAAGGTCAGTGCAGGATGGGGTGCCCCAGGGCCCTGTCCGGCCTTCCCATGCCCCATTATCTCTTCCTGGCTCTGAATCACCTGGAGAGGTAGACATTCTGTGGGGACATGTGCTGAGCAAACACCACATGCTCTTTTGGGGTTTGGCAGAACCTTGTAACTTGTCTTTCCCTGACCTTGGCTGCAGACAGAGCAAGGGTGGAAATTACTAGGGGCGTTCCAACAGACACATCTGATGGACTTCAAGCCATTCTCCTCTCAGGATCTTGGGCACACACGCAGGCGCGCCCGGAGTGAGTTTTAAGCCATCGGGTCCGGGACGCGAACCGCAGTCGACTACGTGGGAGTCCAGCGACATAGCCATTACACTAACTGCTGGTTCCGAGAGGTAGACATTCTCAACTGTCTCCTTGAGCTCACCAGAGAGAAGTCATGGAGGAAGAATGCTGAGATCCACCCAGTTGGCAGAACTTGTAGGCGGATGGGGAAAGAAGACAATGGCAACTTGAAAGATCTCCCTCCAACCTCAGACTTGGTAAAATTTACATCTCCTACACAGACCGACAACAGTCCAAATGGGTGCCAGGAAACACCAAGCAGTGGATGAAGTGTTGCAGGAGATTTTTTTTTTTCTTTTTTGGTTTTCTTTTTAAAATTATTGTATTGGGACCAGCAGTTAGCGTAATGGCTATGTCACTGGACTCCCACGTAGTAGACTGCGGTTCGCGTCCTAGACCCGGTGGCTTAGAACTCACGCCGGGCGCGTGTGCGTGCGTGCCCAAAATCCCGAGAGG